TATAAAAAAAAATACACGTAAGGCTTAACAAGCTTTAAAAACAGTTCAGATCTAACTTATTTACTTAAACAAGTCTTAAAAAAATGCTTAAACCTTATTTGTTTATTAAAAATGTCAAGCTAGGTTAGGTCTAAATCAGATCAGGCTGCAGGTCCTGTCAGACAGCCTGACCTGTTTCTATTCCTAATACTAATTTTTATGTTATTCTATATGACGACATGAGGCACTTTAATGTCACACACCATGTGCACTGCACATTATGGTCTTCACTTTATAATATATTAAGGTATTTTCCTCTCAATAAATATAAAGCAATTTGTACTTTTCTTTTAGTTTGAAAAATAAAATATTGATGCATTTTAAGTGGAATAAAAGTTGAAACCATTCATTTATTAATTTGCCACCAAACATTTAATGATTTTTTTTAGCTCGGTTCATTTTTTTAAATAATAAAAAAATGGGAATATGTTGTCTACAATCTAAATTTAAACAAATGCTTAAACGATATATCTAAAATGGTCATATATTCGATCAAGAGCTTGAGATACAAGACTTAAGATTGATAAATAATAAGTAAACTATAATTGTAGTCTCTGATATTGTATACCTTAGTTATTTTACTTTTTAATTTAATAAATATTTTAATTTATTTTTAAATTTTAGAAAACATTATGCAATTTACTTTTTGATACAAGACGACGTTAAAAAATTAAGATTAAAAAAATAAAATAAAAAATTATAAAATTAATAATTAAAATAAATTTTTTATCAAATTAATATTGACAAACTCAAAAGACAAATATAACCTTTGAAAAGAATTGATTAAAAACACTCACCCTCGCCCCTTAATATTGATTTCTCCTAAAGTTTGGAGAATTTGGAAGAAACAGCCAACGCTTACACTAGCTCTACATACTCCGGTAACAGTGAAAGAAAATAATAAAAATAAAGATAAAAATATTTAAGGCCTGTTTGTTTTTGTTTTAATTTTTTAAATATATTTTTAAAAAAATTTAAAAATTATTTTTAAGAAAAAAAAACTTGTTTGTTAGTTTAGTTTTTAAAATTGTTTTAAGATGAGAAAATAAAAAAAAAATTTATACCAAAACTTTAAAGGTTATTTTTTTATTTAAAAAATTAAAAAAATATTTTTAAAAACTTAAATTGACAAATAAAATTTTATTATTTTTATTAAAAAATATATTCAAAAAAAGAAACAAACAAACTATTACTTATTTTTTCTCTTTTATTATATCTCTTAGCAACAGGAAACTGCATTCTAAAGAATATTAATGGGGCTCATCATATTTTACTTTTTATTTATATATCCAGAAAAGTTACTTAACAAGTTAGAGTTGTTTAAAGAATTGAAACGAGAAAGAAAATAAATGATAGGAATAATAAATACAAACTACAAATAATAAATGCAGTGGCACCTGGGGCCCCACGTAAATGATGTTCGTTAAGTTCCAGACAAATTTCCGCAACCTTATTATAAACCAAGGTTCATGTCAATCATGTCATTGTTGCAACAAAACATCATTAGGTAATTACAATTTTGTGTTTAAATTATATTTTGTTTCTACAAAAAATAGAATTATTAAAAAAATACATTTGTGTCTTCTTTTAAATTGGATTTTTTTCTATTTTTTTTAATACAAAGAGGAGTTTACATCCAACGTTCCAAACATTAAGTAGTTTTTTTCAGCATTTTAATTCTTATACCACAGATAGCACCAAAAAAATAACGATGAGTGAAAACAAAAGAAGAGACAAACAAAAGTGTTTTGCCCTTGAGCTGAAAAAGTGCATGCAATGTAATCTGGTGGTCCCAAGTTAGTGACCCCAAGACACAACAAAATCAACCGATACTTAATTAGCATTAATTACTAGCAATTTCCTCTTTTTTTCTCAACTTATTTCTTTTACTGTAAATGCTAATTAATATTTTAAAATTATTCTTTAAATAATTAATTTTTATTAAATAAATTTTAATGTCTTTCTTTAAATTCTATTTTAAAATTGTTACTAGTATCTTAAAGATTTCGATTAGTATGATCCTTCATTAAGTGAAATTCATGCGAAAACTATTGAAAATACAAGCTTATATTCTTTTTTTATAATGTATATATATATATATATATATATATATATATATTAACAATAGAAATATTTACCACGTGTGCCCTTTAAGAGGTTAATGATACCATTAATAATCATTTGTTTCCACTCATTATTGCTTTTCTAATATAGTAGTCCTGGTCTTAGGCAACTAATCAATGACTTTCTTGGCCTTAGGCTTACTACTCGAGTATATGGGTCCATCTTTTGTTAAACGCGCAAGAAGAACGAACTTAGTATGCTCTATAAACTTTTGTAGTTTAAACTCTAAAGTGAGTTACGAGAGTAGTACATTTTGCTTTTCTTTTTTCTTTCTCTCCTCCTTTAATTCCTTTAAGTAAAGGATCGATGACATTTTACGTGTTATACATAGCTTGGAATTTTCCAGTTCCATGATTAGAAGCCGTAAATTTATAACAAAAGGATAACGAAATCAGGGTTAAAGAATTTGCAGTGCACGTGCGAGTGTATATGGATGCATCCCTCAACACATCTTATGTATCAAATATTGAAGACTAAGATTTGTATATTGAAGTGGTTACCATTCATTCACGTTATGAAGCATCGATCCGTGGATTTTCTACTAGTCTGGAATGGAAGTTTTGAGTCATAAACTTTTGTTAATCATTAAGAGCGGTATAAAGAGGTCTTTAATTTTAAAATTCGAAATTTTGATTAAAAAGAAAGAGTAACAATGAGGGCTAAAAATTAAAGTGCTGGGAGTACGAGATGTTTAATAATTTTCATTGGAAGTATGTTTTGCTGTTCTCAATGAAGCTGAAAACAAAAAAGACAAAGAAAGAGAACACTTTAAAAGGATTTATAAGTAAAAAACCAACAAAACAAAATTTATACTATTAATTAACTAGAATAACTGAATTTTTCAAAGAAAATTAAATTATACGCCATATAATGCCCACTTATATAATTTAATTTTGCATCAACTTACACACATATATTTATAATGTATAAATTGTTAACGAAACGAACGAAAGAAAACATTTTTTTTTCAATAACAAAATAAATTAATGTAGAGGTATATTGTGTCTGCGACTCCAACTACAGCCAGTGATCATGTCTGAGAAAGATTAAAATTGATTTTGAGACAAGTTTTATTTTTGTTTAACTGATAAAACTTTTTAAAGTATACTAGTTTTACTGTATATTTCAAATCTAGATTTTTCAATTGTTTCTAAGATATCATCCCAAATACAGTTTTTTACAACACCAATTCTTTCAAACTAATTCTACAAAGGTTAAAATATGTGCCATGTTCAAAATTAAATGTTAAAACATTATATCCATACACATTAAAATGTCAACTTTTTTTTATAAGAACTAATTATTGCAGCATTAACTTTTTTTACAATCAATTCTACAGAAATACAAAATAGACAGATCTTAATCATGAAAAATAATTATTTATCAAAAAATATTTTAAAAAAAGAAACTAATCTGAAGAGTGACTTAATAGAGAACAGCGGGGTATTCAGGGAATCTCATTATCTATACTCATAAAGTATACGATAAAGAAATCCACTCTCTAAAATTGACTCGAAACTGGAAGTGTGCTTTTGTCCGTCGTGAGTTATAATATTTGTCTCCTTCGTTTCTCAAATGACAAGCTACCGATTCACCACAAATTCCTTCTTTCCTTTTCACATAATAATGACCCGAATGGATTAGACTAAATTGCTGCTCACAAAACATGCCTAATAGGTACATACATAGCTGAATTGGTGACACAAAAATTTGCTCTTCCAACCAAAAAAAGAAGAAAAATCTAACACATGCATGGTTCCATTCTATTCATTCATCGGCGACAATTATTATTATGCAGTATATGTTACTGGAAAAAATTGCACTGAAAACATAATTTTCAGTGAAAAAAAGAAATGCCAGCACTAAAAAACTTGCGAATAGAAAGAAAAATTGCAACCTACACGATGACAGTACAGAAAATAAATAATTTTTATAGTAATTTTCTCGGATTGAATTCGCTTTATACTTCTAAGCGTTTCACCAGCTCGTAGCCGTAACCATAATTCCCAATAATGAAAGGTGGCGTATATAGTACACGATACATATCCACCATAAGAATTGGTACGGTTATTTATTTATTTATACATGTTATTTTACAACCGTTAAATACTCTGTCTTTTTATTTCACAAATTAATAAAAATAGCTTTTATTTTCACGTTCCAAACGGAATCTGCTGTTGATTGGGCTTTTTTGGGGTAGCTAGCTTAGCTATTCACGGCTTCTTTGTGCAGGAAGAAAAAAAGTGCTTTTTCCACTTACCATCGTCGTCCTTCATGAATATATATTTTTTCGTATATAATATTATTTTCATTTTTATTTAAAATATAAAAAAATATTTTTAAATACATTAATTGTTACATAATAAATCAAGTACATAAATAAGAGTGAACAACTCTGTTACCTTCCCACAAACGTGGTTTCGTTTGCTTGCTCGGATCAGATCTCTGACCTCCGTAACTCCTTTCTAATCTGAACGTAAAACTGTTAGATTTAAACGTAAGAGCATAAATAATCACAATTATTAGTTATGTTTTTTTAAAAAAGAGAGAGCATATTTCTGATTTTCCCTTTAAGGAAAGGACAATTCTGCGTTGCGTTGTGGTTCCTCCCTCCATACTCATCACAGTCACTACTCACTCAGTTACTCTCAACACAACACAAGAGAAGGTGTTTGTCCATTCCGCAGTGAGTAATAATAACGCATATAAATTAGGGTTTTTCTACCTCAAGCTCTATGGCAGTTGGTGCAGAACCACATGAGTTGGTTAGTTAGTTATTTTGCAGTTAGAGTAAAGGGAGGGGTGGAGGATGAGGGTTAGGTTGTTGGTGTGAGGAAATGGGTGTGTGGAAGGGGTGGAGGTTGAGTTTGTTGAAGCTGCCTCTGTTGCCGCAACCAAACCATAAAAGCAACAAGCATGTGTGTTGGAGATCGACCGCCACAACGACGCCGTTTCAGCAGCGGAAGCCGATCTCTTGGTCTGTGGTTTGCGGGTTGATGCTGTTCGGGTTGGGTCTAATTTCGCTTTTGACGGGTCACATGGCTTCTGATCTTGAATGGTACTCTCAGCGATTGGTTCACCGCACTTTCTACTCTAGGCTGGTTCGTTATTTTTTAATTCTCATTCTCATTTTGTCTATCGCAATGCGAGTTTCGTTTTATTGATTCTGCTTGTGCATGTGAATGAATCATGAATCTCTGTTTAGGATGGCAACTATCGTGCGCCAATCGATATTTGGAAATCGCAGTATTCCAAATACTATTACGGATGCAGTGAGAGGGGACGCCATTTTGCTCGTGAGTTTCTTCATCATAATGCATCTTGTCTCGTGAATTACAAATTTGAGCTGCTATAATGCGCCGTTGGTATTTTTCGAGGAGTTTAGGTTTGTTTTATTTGGCTATTTGTAGAAACGATTCTACCTTATAGGTATAGAAAAACGTTTTAGGCGTGGCGCTTTTGTGATACTGTAGATATGAGATGAGTACTGGAATTGGAATCATCTTCTTCCTGTCTTTTTGAATCTGTATGTGTTCGGTGCGAATGAAAGGGGTATTGTTCTTGAAAGTTTTTTACTTTGTTTCAAACACTTTGTTTCTTTTTGGGCTATGTATGTGAATAAAAATGGACTGATGAAATTGAGATTGAAGGGCTTAATTATATATTTTGATTAGTTTGTGCAAAAATTATATCCTGAAGATTAGGCTGAGAAATATACTCTTAACTTTTCTGTGTGTCACTTCCTCTTTTAATTGGCAACTGGATAATATAGCTGCTGTGCGTGAGCGGCTGTCAAATGGATACTTGCTTATTGCAACTAGTGGAGGATTGAACCAACAAAGAACTGGGGTGAGTAGGACATAAATTTCATCGTACGTTACAGCATGATCATAAGAATTTTGTTTAAGATCTGTTGTCTTAGTTGCTCCCCTACTGATTAAAACCATGGAAAAGATAAGGCTCTCATTCAGTTGTTTTTAGAGAATGTGAGGATTGGTTGGTTCTCTTTCTCAGGTCATTCAGATAATTTATTTATTTATCGTTTAAAAATAATGAATAAGTTCTTTCTATGAAAACAACAATTGCGTTCCTGCATCCAGATAACAGATGCTGTTGTTGTTGCACGAATTCTGAATGCCACACTAGTTGTACCTGAGTTGGATCATCATTCTTATTGGAAGGATGACAGGTAATCTGCAGATCCTGTCACACATTCACTATAATAATCAAGTTCATTTATTCATTTAATAAAGACACTTTTTGTTTGAATACAGTGACTTCATCCACATTTTTGATGTTGATTGGTTCATTTCTTATCTCGCAAAAGATGTTACTATTGTCAAAAGAGTTCCTGATAAGTTCATGCGGTCAATGGAGAAACCCCCATATACAATGCGTGTTCCAAGGAAATCAGACCCTGATTATTATCTTGATCAAGTTTTGCCTATACTTTTGAGACGACAGGTATGGCAAGTTGTTATCGATACATGCTTGAAATTTCTTAATTCACTAGTATATGTTTTGATTCATTAAATAACTCATGATGAAACATCAGTAACTAGTTTTTGTCAATTTATGGAATGTTTCTGAATTTGGCTGTGGTAGGTAACTATATGTAGGAAATCTTGCAGGTTGTTCAATTGACAAAATTTGACTATAGACTTGCAAATAACCTTGATGATGATCTACAAAAATTACGTTGCCGTGTTAATTTTCATGCTTTGAGATTTACAAGACCTATTCAAGAACTTGGTCAAACACTTGTTATGAGAATGCAAAAAATGGCACGCCGTTTCATAGCTGTCCATTTGAGGTTTGTTTAATGTTGTCCCTTTTCACAAACTTTACAAAGTTTTAAAATTTGAAAACTTGTAATTGTTAGAACAATTTCAAAATGTTTAATTGTGCATTTGTTTACTTTTACTTTGGGGTGATAAGGAAGGGAAACTCTCAAATTCAACTTGTAGAACAACTTCTTGTTGTTTCATATGAGAGTACAAAGTAGAATAAACGACATTAGAGTTTGGGAAGCAAGGGGGATGCACAGTATTGGCACTAACAACAGCATTTGTGATTGATTTATGCCAGGTTTGAACCGGATATGCTAGCATTTTCAGGTTGTTATTTTGGTGGGGGAGAGAAAGAGAGACGTGAACTTGGTGAAATCAGAAAAAGGTGGACAACATTACCTGTAAGACTACAATCCATTCACTTATGATGATGGAAATCTTATTCATTTAACTACCATGATTGTAACTTTTTGTCCTTGTTTAACTGTGCTGACCTTCTGAAGGTATTGAAACCTGTATTGTTCCCTGAAACTTTACCTGATAGGCTTTCTAAGTACAAATTAACTTTTGTCACATGAAACTTCTTAAAGCTGAGATGAACTATTTTATGCTGTGATATGAAATGAGTGAGTTATTACCTCATGATAAAACAGGATTTGAGCCCAGATGGAGAGCGGAAGCGAGGGAAATGTCCTCTTACTCCTCATGAAGTGGGTTTGATGCTGCGGGCGCTCGGTTTTACAAATGACACGTACCTCTATGTTGCATCGGGAGAAATATATGGTGGGGATGAAACTATGCAGCCTCTCAAAGATCTTTTCCCCAACATCTATACAAAGGAGATGCTTGCTGAGGAAGAGCTGAAACCTTTCCTTCCATTCTCTTCCCGCCTTGCTGCTATTGACTACATTGTTTGTGACGAAAGTGACGTATTTGTAACTAACAACAATGGTAACATGGCCAAGATTCTTGCAGGTCGAAGGTAAAATAAAATGACTTTGATATCCTCCACTTTTTTGTTTAGTAAACTAATGAACTTGTTTATAAAAGTTATACTAAAGACAATGAACAAAGGATTATCCACATTTTGTAATGAAATAGCTAGAGTCATAATTATGATTATTCTGTTATGGAATGTGGCTACTATATTGCATTGTTTACTCTTGAATTATATTCAGAATAGGTGTGATAGATGTGTATGTTTGCTGGGATCGAGGAGAGCATGTTGTGTTTTACTGTATACTTGTTCACCGGCAATCTTGTAGAAAGAAAAGGAATAAATATACATTTAGGATTCTCTGTTATCATGACCTTGTAATCGTCAGAAGTTACGTAGTAAAGGATATAGATTGGGTTAAAGATGGTCTAGGTAAATGATGAAATGTCTTCAAATGAGGTATGATCTATATCCTATTTCTTCCCCACCTCTTTGTTTTGTTGATTATTCTACTAGCTTTCACAACTGAAAAATGTTCAGGGCGGTTGATTTTATAATTGGAACAACAATGACCTAGTTTTTGCTATTTGGAGTTAGCATAATTCGGCTAACTATACTGCCTATTTTGGAAAGTTCCCAGAAAATTTGAGGTTGTATGGGATATGTAGTTCCCAGATAATAATATAAAAAGTAACTACTTTGCTCGTATTCAGGCATCTAAGCTAGACCTGATTAACGTGCTAATCTTGTCAAAATTCGTTTTTCCCAGGAGTCAATTTCAATGTCCCCATTTACAAATAGGCAGTCTTGCAGTTGATTTCAGTTATCTTTTGCAAAAGCAAAAGTCGTTCCGTGAAAACTGAGAAGTATAACCTGTTTCAGGAGGTTTCCTGTAAAGCCTGTGTTTGCTTCGACTCCTTTTTGTAAACACAAAATTCGAAACTTGATGAATACCATATCAGTTAAGGGTCTATTTAATTGTCTTGCACATGTGCTACTGCTCGTTATGCTTGCTTAGTATCGCATTATCTTTTCATTCTTATATATATATATTTTTATTAATTTGCCTACTGTTAACTTTTCATTTTGTTTACAATAGGAGATATATGGGTCACAAAAGAACAATTAGACCAAATGCGAAGAAACTTAGCACGCTATTCACGGGAAGGCATCAGATGGACTGGGATACCTTCGCCAGAAAGGTTAAGGCAAGCCAGAGAGGATTCATGGGAGAGCCAGATGAGATGAGACCTGGACGAGGTGAATTTCACGAGTTTCCCGGCTCTTGCGTGTGTGAGAAACCATATGTGGATGAAGAACTTAGCAAAGAGGGATACCGACCTCCTAAAATAAACCTTACTGCAAAAGCTGATTCCTCATCGAATGGAATTAGAAGGACCAGCACATGATAAATGTAGACTTTGAAACGGGGGGGAGGTCATCGAGTGGGAGGGAAAAAAGAATACACAGTTGTCATTCGCTCCAGTTAAATGCCAAGATAAACGTCAGTTGAAATATTGAATGCTACGGCGATGCGTCCATTTCACACGATTTGTCTTTGTAAATCGTTAGGGGATCCAGTTCAAAGTCGGTGGCTCTGTTTAGGGCCTACAGACGTCAATGTCTTGCAAATTGTTAATAGATATATATATATGCTTAGCATAGATTGCTCTCCATCTGTTTTGCCCTCATTGTCTTCCCACAAATTCCACACTTTCTCCCGTTCTATCCGACTAATCTGTTCTCGTCAATTAATAGATGCAGCCACATTGGACCATCCTTTGATTGTGCAAATATCAAATAAAAAAATAATGAAAAATCATCAAAACTGAAACCAAATATTGTATAAATTGTGTGATACTGAATCTACAAATCATTGACAAGTGAAAATCAATTAACTATTTTACGTAAATGGTTAAGAAATTCTATAAATTGCAATTATTAGTTATTTTTAAAATCAATATATTGATTAAATGTGTATATAAATAACTTCCCACTTTTCTCAACGCATTATCTGGCGAAGTTATTAAAAAGGGAAGTTGGCGTGTAGAGCATCACGTTATCATTTGATCGTCAAACCTCTACAAACAAGGTAACATGGAGAATTTCCATATACAGTACAGCCTACGGTGCCATAAGATTAGGGGATCAAATCACGTTTAAAATAAAACTAAAATCAATATGACCGACTGTCAACTGAACTATAGTCTGCCTAAATCATAGAAGTAAGAATTTGCATTCCTAGGTTCCCTATTATAAATATACACATCTATGCTAGGTATGTCGATCATCTAATAACAGAGCTGGTCTTTTTAACTGTAACGCATCATTGCAAGTTCCTTCCAATCAACCTTGGTTATTACCTGTTGCAACTTACAGTCAGCCAATCAGTGAAGATGTAAAAAAGATTCGACCAACAAAAAATGAAAATTCTGCGAGGGTATGGATACTCACCCTTTGAAGTATTACGACTATGTGGAACCGAAGGAATCTTTGAGATGATCAAAGAACTCTGCAATCCTTCCAATAGCTGCCACCAAGTCAACCATCGGATCAGATTCAAAACCAAAGGCCATTAAAATATTTCAAATTAAAAATGGCTTCATACAGGGGAAGAGATAGAAAATAAGTCGTTGATACAACTGAGAATATCCACTTTCAGTTATAGAAACTTACTCTCGACGTTGGTTGAATTCTGCGATTGGATCTCCGGGGCTCAATGACGTCAGATGCTGATTTTGCTAAAACCTTTTCTGCCTCACCCTTACCCGACTTATCACTGGCAGGCGCAAGTTTTCCTTTACTTGCTCTTGATGTGGATGTCCTTTTAGTGGGGATAGCATCACTGGAAGTAGCCAGTGACGAAAACAACATTGGTCCTTGTGTTGCTCCATCAGTTGAAGAGTAGGGTTCTCTCTCCACCTGACTTTCACTCTGGGAAGCATTCTTGAAATGGTTTGAAGAATCCTTGATCCTTTCTGTATGACCTGTCTGATCATTGGTGAGAGAAAACGCATTTGATAACGAAATGTCTTTTGGTGGGATCACTCTACCCCCACTCTGTGGTTTTCCAGATTTAGTCTTGGGCTTGGAGTCGGCTCCAAGCTTCTGTCTGGTATCATTTTTGGAACTATTTTTCCATCCCCTGGATCCTGAACCTTGAGGCATCAAGAAATTTGCAAGTTTAACTGAATCATTTCTACTGCTTTCATGTGCAACATAATGCTTGCTTACTTCCATAAATTTCCTTTTCTTCCCAGGTTTAGGAACACCAAAAATCACTCCCGATCCTTCTTTTTGAAGACCGGTCCTCACCATTCTATGAGCATCCTGTTTATTTTCATTCTTGCTGCTCTTACCAATGTTAAACACTTTCTCATTTTCAGTCAAATTAAGCAATCTCATCTCATCAGGGTTTGCTGACTCCACAGCATCAATACCTTTTGACATCTTGTCTTTTCCTTTAAACTCTACTGCATGACCTAGTTTAGGTCGTTTTTCATGTGGTGTATCGCCCTGTATGAAAAATGTAAAACTCAGCAGAGAGCCATGAAGTTGGAACACTAAAAGAAGCCAAAAAAAGCACCTCATGGGTAGAACTGTCATTTGCTCCCACTTTGAAAGATTCAATCCATTTCCCATCCTTCCAAATAAGGGACGGTCGAAGATGCCAAGCTCTAACAACTGATGTTTCTCCACTAGCTGCAGAAAGTCAGTGTTATAACTTTTCAAAAAATGGGTGCTAATGTGCCTAGTGTAGTAAGAATTAAGAAACAACATACAATACAAAATATCGTTAATCAAGTAATAATATGTATACCAGGAAAGTGGATAGTTAATGTTGTTTCATCTTTCTTATTCTTCTCTGTGATTACTCCTTCCCGCCAGCTGATAACAAAAGGCACCAAGTGAGATAACTTTAACATGCAAATTTATCGTGGTTCAGTTTTATCACAAATAATATTTTTGTTTTAAATTCAGAAAAGTTTATGCCTCCAAAAAAATTGATGTAGCAATTGCATGTTGACTTTCTATTTTTCAGTATATATCTAATTGAACCATCTTAGAATACTATTTTAATATATGTAATGATTTTTTTACTCAACATTTCTATAGAAAGAATGGGAACTACTATAATTAAATTGAAGAACAGGACAAAGTACAGAATAATCCTAACTTCATAAGCCAACCAAACCCACAAACATCCACTTTTATCATGGAGGAAATCAACTGTGAAGATATATTGTATTTTTGTACATAAAATCATGAAGTGGCCATAAAAATAAACTAGTGAAAATAAATCAGTATATTAGTATACCTTTCTTGTATCCATGCATCAACTCTATCCCCAACAGACCATGCATAATCTCCCATAGCTGCTCTACGTCTCTTTCTTGTCCCTTCATATTGCAAAGTAGTAAGAGGGCGAGCAGTACGTATTCTGGGGGGTTTGTCTCCTTCACATTTAAGTGAGACCCATTCCTTTAAGGGTCCTGCATCTTGAAACCAGCGATCTTTTTTAATCATAATGAATGGATACACACTACTACACAATTGAATAAGATCTTAATGGAAAAAGGGTGGCAAAACATTAGCATCCAGATGTACGCAGGGGTATGGGAGTCAACAGAACATGGCCATTTTATGAACACCTAAATTTTATGATTTATCCAAAACTTATTGCAAGTCACAAGTATGAATTTATATATGAATTTGTGACCAAAAAATTTGGAAAAATACTAGTGTTATTTTGGTCAAAATATAGCATTCTCATTCTGATGTTCCCTTTAAGAAGAATTCTCCCAACTGTACACACAAATGAACCCAAGTCCATTGACTTTTCCATGAGTAGTCAAATATTGGAAATACAGTCAATACATTTTTCCCACTGGTTCACTAATTAATAAAAAACTTCCATTCTCTCCAAAGTATGAGCATATATAAGCTTTACCAACCTTCAACAGCTACAAGTGAAGTGTAGCATACATAAGCTTTATCATCCTTGAAACTCAAAATATTGGCTGTGAACCATCCAACTTTGTACCCTTCCTCGTCTTTGAAAACCTGATACATATAATAGCTTCAGTTTTCAGGGGAAAGAAAAAAAGAAAAAAATTGTAAGAACATATTCCTTTTCGAAAACATAAAGAATGCATGCCAATTTAATTAAAAACCAGCACCTAATCCTCACCAAAGTTGATATCAGAAAAATGAACCCATGGGCATTAGCCTAGCCACTCTACCTAGCTCAACTTAAAAACTGAAATGAACAAGAATAAAAGCCACCTCTACAAGTAAGCCCTCCTTGATGTTATTTTCTTCAAGATTTTCAGATCCATTACTAACAGTGAAAGAAGGAGCCTGTATTTCAGAGTCAGATCCAGGAACAACACCAGGCTTGACTAAATCAGAAACCTTGCGGCCTTTTGGTCCTCTTGAATTCTTTTCATTGATCTTAATAGAAGCTGAAACATCACCCGATGAAATGTCTTTGAGATGTGTATGAGAAGTTTCGGGAATATCTCTAACATTGTCAATGTTCACCATATCTCTACTGATGTCTTTCAATATTACAGCTTGCTGAGAAGACTCTCGAGCTGCTTTCCAACATCCCTCTGGGCCAGCTTCTACCAAATCACTTAATGGCAAAGGATCACCCATAGTTACAATCTTTCCTGCTTGAGATACAGCTTCTGCTGCCAGCTCAGCAGCCTTTACAACAGCATCCAAATTTTCAGCTCTTTTGGTGGCAGCAGACGCAGCTTCCACTCTCCTTTTAACAGCTTCCTTTGCCGCAACAATGATAGAGCCAGGACTGTTGGTTCCATTAGCACCCTTCAAGATTGAAGCAGTGGTAGCTTTTCCTAAGTTATTTGTACCCTCAGAAAGAGAAATTTGATTACTTTGGTTAGAATTATCATAACCCAATGCTTCATCAGCCATCAGTTTTGCTTGAATAGCAGCATTTGAAGCAACATTAGCTGCTGCAGCTGCTGCCTTTGCAACAGCTGCAGCAGCTGCAACAGCAACAGCTGCAGAAGCTAATTTAGCCTCAATATCTGACATCAATCCCGAATTTTTATGCTTATCCAACTGACTCCATAACTCTATGCTATGATTAACTGCAGCAGCAGAAAGAGCAGAAGCTTCCTCTGCATGTAAACTAGCCTCCTTAACTTTCATAAGAGACTCATCTGACATAATCCTTTTCTCAACATTTTGATCATTTTTGGATTGATCAGCAAGAGGAGATACAGACACAACTGATTTCTCAACAGTAGTTATTGGCACATTCCCAACCGGGGTCACAACAGCAACAGAAGTAGATGTATGGCTAATAACAGAAGGAGGCAGCGATTGCAAAGCCCTCTGGCCAAGATCCTCAGATACCACAGCTTTTTTCCTTTTCTTGGGCTTTGGATCTGAAGAATGCTGAGGAGGTGGTACTGTCACATTGTTTGCTTCAAGTGGAGAGGCAGTCCCCAGAAAGATACTTTGCAAACCTGCACTGGAAGTAGGGAGGCCAGAAGCAGCATTCTTTATGCCAGAGGTAGGCAGCAGAGAAGATGCTTTCACTGAACCTAGCTTAATTGTATCTGAGACAGGTGATGCAGAAAGATGGGTACTGCTGTCAGGTGCAGCAGTTGGAGAAGCAATCCAAGGTCCCCGAAGGGAGGTTTGGGATATCCAAGGTGTATTGTGTCCAAGAAAGTTCCTAGCAGGAGGAGTTTGATAAGGATGCAAAGGAGTAATTGCCTGCGGATAATCCACAACTGAGCCTCTTGCAATGGCACTAGATTGAAGGGAATCACTAGAGAGAGTTGGAAGACTCCAAAGTGGAGACGAAAGCGGTATTAAGGGGTTCACAATTGTTGGAGTGGCCTTGCTGCTGGCTCGACCAAGTGGTGAAGAGATACCTTTCCCTTGAACTGTACTGTGTTTTAATGCTGAATCAGCGGTTCTAGCAACTGAAGATCTCAATTATCGTGAGTTAAACAAACAAGTCGATTAATCAAATCAGAGAAAAAGCTATACCACAAGATATACCAGATCGTGAATGCATAGGTGTTTCTGGATTAACAGGAAGAGATTTTTGACCATGTTGCCTTTCCATGCAGACACACCAGGCATTCTCCCAAATGCTCCTTCCACCATCTGAAAAACACAATGTCTAAGAAATAAATATTTTATTATGAGCAAATAACAAATGGGTATGTAAGGGAGTCATTATAAACAGAAAGTTAACCTGATCCCCCAAAAGCTGATATCATATACGCCTCATCAGGGGCTGTGCCTTGACTGCAGAAAATCAACAACATAAATAATTGGCAGAGCTAATTATCATGCCACAAAATCTAGAACATGAACAACTATATCATGCAGATCTAAATGGCTCTGGTGACCTTGGCCTCAGATAACATTTTGATTAAATAAGCATGGAATATGTCTAACTAAAATAGAAAGGCAAGTATACAATCAGACAGATTTTCCAATTAACTATGCGTGGTAATGTTAGGTCAGGTCTCATATAGGGAGTAAGTGAAAAAATGCATGATTAATTCATAAACACGTGCATGTATTACATCTGTTTAGCATCCATAGCAATTAAATAACATACAAAATCAATAATTGAACTTACATTAAAGCTCCATAGACGAAGATCTGTGCACGCAATTGTATTTGCTGCAGATCTGTGAAAGGCTGATGAAACAAAACAGGTGACGCAGAAGTGTTCAAATCTGGAAGGCTAGATGTTGAAGTATTTACAAGAGCAAATGACTTTGTGCTGTTTGAATCAATGTGTCCATACGGCTGCACCTCATTTGACTGCATCAGCTGGAAAGCAGGAGATGGGCTAAGGGAAACCTTGGTTGATTTATCACCTCTATCAGACTGTCTAGATGGAGTAGTGTCTTTCATATGACTTCCTCTTCTAGAAGATTCTTTTCCACCTGTCTTATTGGATGATCGCCTAGTTTTGCGCTCAGGCGTAGCTTTAGGGGCACTATGTGCTACCCCTCTGTCTGATATTTGTGGATTTCCATGGGAGATATGTCCTACAGTCTTGGCTTTTAAGGAACCTATCCCAGATGTTGAAGGAGATCCCTCCATAGCCTTCAATAATGAAGTGGAGGGAGAAAAAAATGAAAATTCTATAAGATCATTTGTTATTCATAATGTAAACAACAGAATATATCACCCATGCATTTAACATAATGAACCTTTCAAGAATCCCCTTTGCACATTCAGGAAAAAATTCAATCAGGAAATAAAAGTAATAAAGGAAAAACATTAAGATACAAATTCCTTAGCTTGGATTATAAACTGCAACAAGACTTACTTTTGATGCTTTGATGGTTGCAGAAACAGGAATTGATTGCCTCTTGCCAGCATCTTCTGTATTCACATCAGCAACATCTTTTTTGGACAAATCAACTGCTGAATTTAGCTCAGGAGTTGAGCTTCTATCATCTTTAGATGCATTATTCCCCTTTAGATCTTGAGCAGTAGATAATGTTTTTTTTTCAACACCATCTATGAACTCAGAGGCTTGAGGTTTTTCATTAGCAGAAGCCTTAACTTGATTCTCATCCTTTTCAGTTTGGGAAGTGCTCCCAAATGTACTAGACGGACTACAAGTACTATTGGCAGGAAGGCTTCCACTTCCAGTCTCACGCAACTCAACACAGGGGTTCGGTAAATAAGCAGTAGATATGGAACCTTGGTTTCCAGTTAAATTGTCACCTAAAAAGTTAATATTGTAATAGGAATGAACGCATGTGAAGGAATATGATAAAGAGAGAACATGCAATGCACATCACAGAAAGAAAAAAGAAAACCTATTTTACATCAGACAATACAAACAAAACTACCATCATGATTCATGGCATGGCTATTTATCGTCATTGATATGGGTAGCAGTTTGGCATGCTCAAAAAGGGAAATTATAAATAAAATATGGCTATGAATAGAAAATAAGGCAGTCATCAGAATGATTCGGTTGCCAAGATTGACACAAATACTATTCGTGAACCCTAGAAGACTCATAAAACAAATGCTTCTACATGGCCAAGGGTATGCTCCTGAATTTCCTTGTGGATGAATGTGAGGTCAAGTGAATCTTCTCTCGAGAAAATTTCCTTCATCACCTTCTCTACTTGCATTCAGCTCCCCTTCCCCTTTTTTTTGTCTAGGATTCCTACCTGTCAGCTATACACTTCTCTCCAATCTTAAATTGTCAGGAACGAGTAAAATGATTCAATAGCTAGAGAATTACCTATGGAAGAATTGAAAAACACTTATTGATTGTTCACATAACCAGGAAATTGTTATTTGTAACTGGCTCAAATAGTTCACTGTGATTCTAAATTGCATGAGCTATAGACTTTTAGTTATAATTTATCTTAGACAGTACAATTGATTGCACAAAATATGAATACATGTTTATTAGCCAGAATTAACTTGACACATGAGATATGGGTCATGCAAAGCCACAGATTTTTTTTTTCAAAAAAGGAAAAACATACTACCACAAGGGAAATTTTCAGTACTTTTGGATTTTATACTCCTTCACTTAAAAATTAGCAATACTCACCTTTCTGTGGTTATTTTTCTCTGATTTATTTATTTTTATGATTAAAAATAAGAAAAAATAACTGAAGGGAAGTAGGAACTACAGGAACACCAAAAATTTACTCCTCCACAGGAGAAAACCAAGATAAGTTCTTGTAGTTGAAAATTTGCTATGATAACCCAACTGCACTAAAGGAAGGACTGAACGCAAATAATAATTCTCCCTTTACAAGCCACTGAAATAATGAGATGCTCTTTAACAAGACATTTATTGAATGAATACATTCAACCACAGCGTTCCAAAAAGTTTTATGGCACAGACATATTTAATTGATAATGAGTATATCACAAAAACTCAATAAAATCATTCAATTTGACAAAACTTGAAGTGGATGCCACATATTCTGTTTGTTTTCTCCAAGTTCTAGGTATTGATACATTAACCTCACACAATAAAATGCAGAATTTAAAGGAATTTCATAAGTGGGTAGCAAGACTTGATAAAATATTACCTAATTCTTTTGAGGAACACTTGTCAGGATTATCCTGTACAGTCTCCTTGTCATTCTTAAGTGAGGAAATTGTGACACAGTCACCCTGTTTCTCTGATGATACACATAGATCTTGAGACATAACAGTCTCTTTAGCACATTCCTGAATAACCTCATCATTTGATGTTCCTTGAGGTTCATCAATCTTTACAGCACCACTAGTACCTATGTTATGCACATCACTTGCGACATCACATAATGGTTGTTTAGATGCATCAACAGAAAGTTTTTCGGTTCCTGCAACAGGACAAGGAGCAGTTTCCTGCTCAGAAGGTCCAACAAGGGTGCCTGCATCCTCAGCTATTTTGACTGTTGATTCTTCCTTTTCCTTGACAGAAGAAGATTCAACAGGAGTTATCCCTTGAAAATCATTGTGACCAGTAACTTCATGAGTGGAAACAACTTTGCTAGGAGGAGGTGGAATGTCTATAATCTCATGCGATGTCAAGCTAATATTGTCTGAAATAACTTGTGAAACTGTAAAATATGAAAATGAAACCTTAAAATAATGGAGCTGTTATGAATTTGATCCAATATCAGTGAAGAACATTTTACTATATCAGTAAAAAAAATAACACCTCACTTTGGTACCTAAAGGTCTGTTTGGCTTGAGAGAATGTTTTTTACTTTCATTTCCTAGTTTTACCAATATTATAAAACGTCACCTTATCTCCTATATTCCATGAAAGTACAGAAAATGATGAAAACACCAAAACATGAAACAAGATGAACACAATGTAACATTTTTGTAATCATTAATGAAAACAGAAAGTGTTTTCTCAAACCAAACAAGCCTCAAGTGTTTTCACTTAAAGTGCAGGTTTTTAACAATTTTTCAAATAGGTGATACCATATGATTCAATACCAGTATACAACAATTAAGATTGTCAGCTTACCAAGATTAAATCAATCACAATGTACCTGAATTGTTTGCAGGTATGACTTCAATTGATCCTGTGGAGGTTGTCAACTCAGTTTCCATGCTACCTGCACTAAGAGATGACGAAACAACTCCCTTGTCAACAGGATGGGATTGATCAACATCACAATGCTTCTGGTTAGAGTCATAAGGAATCTTTTTACTTTCTTGATCCTTGACAGAAACATCTTGATCATTGACAGAAACATCTTGATCAAACTTTTCACACTCATTCTGTCTGTCAGATTCATTGCTTACACATATTTGAGTTGACTCACCCAAAATGGAAGATTTTTTTAACGAAACTGCCACACTGAAACCTGAGAAACCTCCTTCCCTGTCATCAACATTTCCTTCACTAATAGTGGAAACATTATGTTCCTCAACAGTAAACCCAGATGACTCTGACTTACTTGATAACATCTCTGTATCCACATGGTCACCAGTGTTTGATAGCTCATTACCCACATGGTCACCACATGTCTTTGTGTCCCTGACATCCATATTCTGCTGTATGGTAGGACAAATCTCACAACTGGAATTACTAGCATCAACCGCCTGCTCCTCAGAGATAGAATCATCTTTGATAGAAATAGTTGGCAACGCACATGCATTTGGTGCAGATTCATTGTTCATGAGCACATCGTTAAGTAACATTGCATCTTCATTTGCATTGTCCCGAGACAGATCGCTAAAACAAGTATCTTCACTACATTTTTCTGCTTTCTGCAAGTCAGAAACTGCAACAGAATCCATTCTCATGGAATCCTCTATACTACTTAATCCAGTCTCGAGACCTTCACCTACACTCCCACTTTCCAAAGTTTCTTTTGCAGGGGTTGGACAAATTGGTTTATCTGGATGATGCGTATTGCTCCCAACTGCATTTCCATCCATAGTCTGTGTGTCTACAAGAGCTTTTTTATTCATCATAGAAGAGTTCAAATCATGATTATTAGTTTGTGTTTGTAAAGGACCTTGCTTCTCATCACCCAAATTTTGCATAGATGATTCAGCAATATTAGTTTGCACTGCAGATGAATCATGTGTTTTGCCATGATGTGAGTCATCGGCGACAGTCCCAACTTCTTGTTGGTCTGCATTGTTACATTTGTCATCAGTAATAAGTGTCAGACTCCCCTCAGACATAGGCAAGTCAATATTTCTGCAAATATCACTTAGTTCTGCATTACCTGAACTTCCAATGATGGATAATTCCCTTTCATGACCTTGTGACACTGCATCCTGAAACTTTTCCATTCCTACATGCTCTTTCAATCCAGAAAAACTTGCATGAGAACCACCAGGTGAATGTAAATCTGTAACATTATCTTGAAATTCTTTTTTATCCTCAGGTTTTGGATTGGGGTCCATTTGCTTAGCTAAGCAGGCCAGTTCATCACAGGCATCTGATTCCTGAATAACGGTTTGCCTAGGAATATAGTCCTCCTGTCCAACAGATTTTAAAAGCATTTCAACAGATTCCGAGGAAGTGGCCTCGGACCAAACATTGCCATGCCTTGATATGGAGCAAGACTCAGCTGCAGTTGAACTGAACTCTATGCCACTACCACCCCGGGAGAATGCGTCAATCCACTGGTTATCTTCGTTACTTTCAATACCAAGGAAAACTTCAGTTTCAACCAAACTGTCAAATCTTAAATTTGCTTGAAGGCTTTCATCAAAATCAAACTTAGGGAGAGCATATGGCCTTAATGCTGGAGGAAATTTGGTGCTCCCTTCACCAGCTAAATGGAGATTCTGGCTTTGAAAGTCATTGTCATCATAATCCATGGGTAAATCCCTAAAACAAATAAGCATATTAGAATAAGATAAACAACAATATGAGTGCAATGCATGGATGGATAGACATGCATTGAAAGTCATTGTCATCATTATTGTTGTTTATCCATCCATGCATTGAAAGTCATTGTCATCATTATTGTTGCTTGAAAGTCAATGCATTGCATCCTGATATAAATCTATGAATGCAATGCATGGATGGATAGACATGCATAGATACAAATGCAAAATCAGACAGAGGGATGTATAAAATCCACTGCAGACATATACATTACATCTATCATCCAAGCATCAGCATGGCATGGTACACCAACAAATGGATGCACGAATACATAGAAATTCAAGAATAATTTGAAAAAATTGTTGGCTTGGCAATAACATTTCAACCCACACACGAGGCAAGTAAAAATAGAAGCACAATTTAATAGAGCAAGAAAACAACTTATATTGAAAAGTCTAACTATTACCCCCATATTTAAATTTCCACGGCCACTCACTACTAACATAACTGAATAGAAGAAAAGCAAATACCATATCACTAATAGATTAGGTTTCACTGTAGTGATATATTTATCTAATCTACAACCGATAATTTGACAGTAGGATTAGAAAAGAACTATCCTTAGGGTTTATAGGCTGTCTAGTGATCTGCAAAGTTGTTTTGAGAATACAACAGGGGGCAAATAGTGCATAAAATAAACCTAAATAATTGGAAGAGTCCCCCATGCATTTTGATGTCATACAATAAGAAAGCTTCTTTGGCATAGGGGTATGGCATTCAGCGCTTCTTTATTAGCCTTAACTCATTAAAGATGAGGCAGGTTTAAAAATTGATACATCATGCAATTCTTCAAAACAAACGGGAAAAATAAATTAAAATCTGGAACCAACTGAACTGTGCCGTTGTACTGACTCAACTAAAAAATCTACTGAACCAGCAGCACGATTGGAGCACACTTTGTGGCACAGCACCAATCTTCTAAACGACTAAGTGAAACAGTTTACACACAGTGATTAACCACTTGGTTAAATCAAAAGCAGCAGTTGAACAATTCTTCTAAGCGCGAATTAGCCAGTTGGAACGGTTTAGAAGAAAGAAAAACAATTTTCAAACAAAACTCACCATTTGAAAGCAAAGGAAGCATAACTCGTGCCCTAATCATAGAAAATGAAAATTGAAGAACCCAAAGTTGGACATGAACAGTACCAGAACAAGTAAGTCTAGAGACGCTACCTCCCTCCATCCGGCGAGGAAATCCCAACCCTTTTGATCTCACCTATTCCCGAATCGTACAGTCATCTACTCCCTCCAACACAAAAATCACTTCGTCAGTGTAGAAAAAAACAACCAAGGGGAGCAACAAGGGCAATTGAACCTCACCGGTGGATTCGAGTTCCGGCGGATCCAATTAGGGTTCCGGCAAGAGTAACAGGGAACAACACGAAGAAGTGTGAAACAGAGTTTGAGAGTGGATTTTTGTTCGTTGGCTGTGGCTGGGGAAAAAGCAGTGAAGAATTTTGTTTTTTTCCCAATGAAGAGAAAATAGGTGTCAGCTATCGGAATCAAAATTGAAAAAAGTGGGTTTGCTCGTAAATAGCCGAGATCCAACGGCTGAAGATGCTAAGGCGGGACACGTGGACAGAGATAATTCCCGCATGGAAAGTATCTGCTATCTAGGGTTACGCATGGAACTGGCGTCCTTGGAAAACAGTGTCACGTTTGCACGGACGATTGGTTAATTGCGGAGAGAAGGGTAAGTAAAGTGTCTCATCACATTCTGATGCTGTAATCCCGCGGTTCTTAGAGGGTTTACATAGATAAATAAATCACACCGTGTAGCCACATTGCTTTTACAATTATTTTCATGTCATTAGTTTAAATATTATTAATTAAATGCAATTGCAAAATTAAAACAAAAGCCCAAGTCTATAATTATTGGCTCCGAGTAACACATGGGCCGTTAAGTTATGAACTTAATATATCTGTACTGGAATTTCCAAATTGTGCAAATTTGTACAGATAAATTTGAATAAATATATTATTTAATTAATCTGTATTAATTATTTTAATATAATTTTTTTAAATTATTAGAAAAACTGCTCTTTTATATGGTAATTTTTTTAAAATAATTAATATTTAACAGTTAACTGCATGTTTCATAGTTCAATTTTAAATACATATATTATATATTTTTATTATATTACGTTTATTTATTTTTCTTTTACATCACGTTAAAATTTCAAGAAATCATTTTTTACAGAGATTTTTTTTATTGATATATAATAATAATTTATAATTAAATGATAATATAAAAAATACATTATTAATATATTTTAATTAAATTCTATTTTATGTCAGAGAATGCTTTGTTAATATGTTAAAATAAACCAAACTGAAATTTTCTCTTATTATCTTTAAATTATATTTTAAAGATGAGTACGTATAAGAAATAAATAAAAAAATAATTACACATAACATTACACAGGATATGAAAATTTTTACGTCGTAATAATATAACAGCTGTTACAATAATGTTTCTCTTACTTTTAGTTTCATGTTTTTGGAGAGGAATTCACAGACATGTCATATCGGTCGGTGGATTAATCCTTCCTTCAATTTACTATTTTCTGTAACTGATCTGCCTCCCATCGTGTCACTGCTTTTGGATAATGCTACTTTCGTTAAAATCAAACTTTTCCCAACTCAAACTGTTCATATCCCATGGAAGGCCAACTTCATAGCAATCATGATCATTATCTCCGGTATTTCCGATCATTTGTCACTTTCGGTACCTCTAAGGACACATTATTTTTTTCAAAATTATAAATATTATTTACAATTTTTTTTGGGAGTTGAGTCTGTCAACAAAATTAAATTTACATGATTTGATGAAAAGAACACTAGGATCTTTCTCAAATTTTAATTATTTCTATTTATTTTATAATTATTATAATTTCAATCCTCTTCGTTAAATACAAAAATCGAAGGTTAATTACGTGTGTTCCTTCTTATTTGGGCTTTTTACTTTTATATAAAAAAATTAAATATAAAAAATATTAAAATTTTTAAAAATTATGTAAACAAAAAAGTAAAAATTATTGACCAATCATTATGAATGAAATTTGGTAATTCTTTTTTTATTTTTTTTGAAAAATACCTTTTTAAAAATAAGAATATTTTATAATTTATAATTATTTTATATTTGTATAGAAGCATTTAAAATTTTTGAATTATTATATTTTTATAATTTTTAAAATTTCATATTTTAATATATATCATTTTTAGATATCATATACAATTAAAAGGTAAGAAGGTAACGTTATGAGTGAAACAAGTTTTCTTTTGTATAGAGTTCTCAAAATTAATCGTGCAGTCAGTATGACTAATATTGAGAAAAATAAAAAAAATTAGTCTAAATAAATTTATCAGTAAAAGGTAAAAATTTGATCAATAATAAAAAAGATAAAAATTAAATTTATCCCACAAATTAATATTAATTAAATTTTTTACTTTTTAAAAAATATTATCACTTAAATTTTTAAAAATTTAAGGAATATAAGTTATTTTTAACTTTAAAAAACTTCATTACCAATTTATTTTTCTTTGTTAAAAGTATTTATTTAAAATTTTACCCAAAGTGAGTTTAATTAAGATTTTGTAAAATAATACTTGTCCTTCATATTTTTTAAATTAAAAAATTTGAAAATAATTTTATCTTACAACAAAATTTAATTATTTTTTTTTCGTTATCAAAATGCTAATCTGAACTGAATCTACGTAATATTAAAATATCACAATTATCTATCAATGATTTATTTTTTAAGTATCAACCTACTACATTTAAAACAAAGAATTTATAAAAATAGTAACTTTTATAAGTTTTTTTAAATTTATTTTGATAAATTTTAGCTTTAAATTTATAATATAAATTATTATTTAGAAAAGCTTATTAAATAAACTTTTAAATAATTTGTACAGTCTAACGCACCCCTAACTAGAGCCAGTTATATCTATTTATATAACGTGATGGTTACATAGATCTACCGACCATTATAATTATTCTACACAATTTATATAAGCTATGTCCAAAGAAGTTAGTTTACTTTTCAGCCTGCTAATTCAAGTACTTTTTTTTCGCTCAAATCACCGCTTTCAGATGTCACGGGTAAAGTACTTTTAAGTTACAATAAAGTACAAAAACTACACATTTAACCTTCCAGGATAGGCCTCTGATATCTTTATTATGTATATCCTTTTCACATTATCAGATCCAAATTCCATTTTAGATTCTATGCATCTTATTAGCTATGCTAGGGACTTACACTGTTAACCAATATCTTTGCTCACTCATCCAACGTTGTATTACGGCGTATTATTCCATGCTCCAACTTTCAAGTTAAAAGAAAGTTTGTCCGCACAACTTGTTAGGCGTGCGTACATTAATTATCAAAATATAAATGGTAAAGTATGTTATCTAACGTAAGCAAATATCAGATTATGTTAAAATGTACACGATATTTCTTTGAACACCTATAATTAACTTCTTCGCATCCTCAAACAGTCACACCTCAAGAGAACCTCTTCATGTAAAATGTTATACCCACCATGGCTTTTCTATTAGATCCTTCGAGAACATGTACCTGAATCTAGAACTGTAAGGCAGCCATTCTATGATCTGAGATGACTTTTTATTGGACTTACGATCAAAGCACTTCTGTATTGAATCATGCAGTTTCTTGTCAACACTTTCCATTACCCATCCTAGGAGATCATCTAAACCGATTGATGCTTCTCTGGAAAATCTTTCCACCAATTTAGGGAGAAAAACTTTGCTTGATTTCTTGACAACCACATTTGCTTGAAGAAACTCTCTCTTGGCGATATTCAACTCCTCTCTTATATTTGACGCCGAGTAAACTTTTAGCTGGAGCACATTAACAGGAAAAGTCTTTATCATCTTTTTAAAATCAGGGTAAAATCAAATTTTCCAAATTGCAATTCCTTGAAAAAATGTAAATGAAAGAAAAATTACCACAGGATCTGACAATGCCCCGGTGCAAAGGGCAAAGCAAACAAGGGGTTGGAAATCAGTAATGCCCAATTTTGAGCTGATAAGCTGTTTTTCTTCACCACTTTTCTTCCTCAAGGCAGCAGACACAAAACTTTCAAGCCACTGTGTTTGATAAACAGAAATAATAATCAGATGAAATATGACAAACCAACCTAACATTAAGTTCGGTATTAGAAACTTTTTCTTCAAAGTCTGCCAAAAAAATACAGTATAATATCAGGAAAAAAAAAGAGGTCCTAATTAAGTTCTAAGCATCCCACTCATATGAAAGAATTACATTAAAACTGTCTTGTAGAGTTTTGGTAGTCTTAATAAAGAAGACAGGACAAAATAGGCAGTTCTATTATACTTTCATCCATTAATTGGTTAGCTAATTGGAAAGGGTAAGTTCATCCTATAATGTTCATTAAATTAAATTTTATACTGAAAGAAGAGTTAGGCTAAGAAGTATGATAAGATGAACATTTTTTTTCCTTTCACTCTCATCTCCATGGAACCAAATCACATGTCGTGTCCCCTTCTCTATCCCACAATTAAAAAATGACACTTCAAGAAAAACTAGCACTCAACAGTGTGTTACTTTATAGTCATGTGTCAATTTCTTATTGGGCACAAGAATCAGGGACATGTGATTTCAGTCCTCACCCACCTTGCTCAGTTGCTCTTCCTTATTTTGTCACTACTGCCATTGTTATTACCACCGTTACTGCTAGGCTACTTCCGCCACTACTACTACCACCATCCCTTCTTCCTCTCACAAGGATAATTTTGTAGTTAGTATAAAATTTATAATTATATTACTATATACTATGATGTATAATTATATTACTATATACTATGATGTGTATCAAACACTTGATATGATAAAAACGTATCTAACTTATTTCTTTCTTATCTACCCTTGTCCTATTCCAACCACTAAACAACCCTATAAATTTACAAGATCATTGGTGATTATTAAATAATAGCTATGCAACACCAATTTAATGTAGTCACACATTCAAATGGATACACTAACGTCTTTCTACAGCAACATAGGGAACTTGCAAGCAGCAGCTGCAAATCATGGAAAGAATCTGTGACGTGTAACCCTCAATTCAAAACAGGAAAATAGATTTAGAATTGCACAATCTGGATGGACCAAGCAAAATATTCCATCATTAAATTGCATCAATAAAACTGACAAAACTTCGTATATAACGAGGTGCCCATGTTTTTGACACGAGGGTAAGGTAAGTACCCGTCCAATGCGGGGGGTTCGGAAGCAAAATATCGCTTGTTCTATGGCGTTTGCACTTACGATATGACCGCCAATGTTGTAAGCAGCCTGCACTATACAGTTGCACTCATCAATTCATATTTTGCATGATGTATCAATAAAAAAATTAAAAATAAAGTTACATCAATGAGAAAAATGGAAGTGCTAAGTTTATGACTATGACATCACAGGTTGAAGTTACTTCTGAACAC